AATATTTAGTAGTAGCTTATCAATATATATATATATATATATATATATATAATACAGCATGTGGTGTATGCCATGCCTCGTCTTATTCATTCTTGTTAATAACCGTTATGTAAGCTAGTTTGTCATTATAGCCTACTGTTTTATTGTTGTTGTGCTATTTAATTAAGAATAATAATGAATCCATCTTTTGTTTTGGTCTTAAAAAGTGAAAGGTGTATAGATATAAGCAAAACAGACAATTATCTTTTTTTGTAAAACGTGACAAGATCGCAAATTTGAAAGTGAAAGTGCACGAAGCCTGGCTTATAACACAGCAAAAGAGGAACTCCTGTTCACAAAATATAAAATCACAAATAATACTGATGAAAAAGGGTTGAATGTTAACACTTTCGTTACCATATAACTATAAACTATGATAAAAGTTCATCAGCATGCATTGATTAATTCCAATGTTGTATCAAAAAAGAAAGAAAAAAAATTGCGACCAAATTATGTGCTTGTGCGACCAACTGAGAAAGTTAGTCGCAAAAGAGCGACCAGTGGGAAGAATGATCCTGCGTTCCATTCGGAGGGGCTCATCCCTGTGCCCTAATCCCTTCAAAGGGTTTACCCTCCGGAGTGAGAGCTCTGAAGGGTTGAAGGGTGTAGGGGACCAAACAACTGTTTCTTGAAGTGCCCTTCTGCGTCATCATCACGTGCCCACACGGAGGCGCCTTCATCATGCAAAGAATCTGCGCAAAGGATCATGGGAGCCCAAAGTGTCCATCAGTTGTACCCTTCGAAATCCAAAGGGCACTTTGAAGGGGCCAGTTTTGAGCACTTTGGTTTAGAACAACCTTTCAATATGGCGGCCATGATTGTTTTCACTCCGAAGTGCCCTTCGGAGGGCGATATATCCCGTTTGGAACGCACCGTGAGTCTAAAGCCCTGTATGATGTTTTGTATTAAGAAAATGAGGCCAAATTTAGGGCCATTATGATTTTTTGCATTATTTGCATGGCAATTAAGCACATTTTTCCTCAAATTCTCATTATTGTGATAAAAAAATAATGACGAGTCATTATCATTACCACAAATAGTTTGCTAAATTGTTAATTTATGTTAATTCACTTTTTTTTTTTTAAATAAAACATCATATTTAGTGAAATATGACTTTATAGGTATTTTTCATGAAGCTGACCCAAAAATTTAGATTGGATAAATATTTATCAAAAGCCATTCAAGCTTAGGCAACTGGTAATTTAAATTGTAAATGGCAGATCCTCATCCCTTTGGGATGCCAGCAAAAACACACCAAATATTATTCAAATTGGCCACCAGTTGGTGCTATAAAGAGTTGTGTGGAAATCCTGTACTAACCTGATCCAGTAGGTCCCAGCAACACAATGTTGCTCTTTTCCAGCTTAATATCAGTGTGGCCGGAGTCAAGCACGTCCCTGCCCCTTTTGTCTCGAGGAGCTTGCTGATTGGTCTGCTGCTGAACAGAGGCACCCAGAGCGTTGCCATGGGGACTGATGCCAGCGATCTGAAGCAGCTCTAAGAAAACAACCAAACTACTTCACATCTCCATCCAGCAGATCATGTGTTATTGATTTAAACACGAAAAAGCAACATGACACCACAAGAATTTTGCCCGGAAGCCCTGTGGGCTAAATCTTAAAAAATATGAAATAACCAAACACAGGTTTTCAGTCAAGTGTGGAATGTGCTGTTTGCTTTTAGAGGAAGAGTTCAGGATCTTTCATTGCCTAAAAATAAAGCATTCTGGACATTCTACAAAATATTTAAATTGTATTTTCGGGATGAATTAATGGTAATTATTAATTCTGGGTGAACTATTACTTTAACAACGTTCCTAATTTCATAAATAAAGTAAACTACTTTTATACATCAGCTTACTCATATCTTCATTTCACATCTCAGGATCTAAGTTAGGCTAGAGGTAACTATTACGCAAGCCCTGTCCAGAATGATCCTGCTGTCCTCACTATAAATAAGAAGCAAACGGACAGAAGCCCCAGTGTGAAATCTGAATGGCCGGAGACCATGAGAGCCGTAACTAAGTCATTGTGACACTTTATCCAACTTTATGGAGGTCAGCGACGAACCCAACTGATCCTGCCCCGCACACAAACACAGAGGGTTGATACATGTACACGGAAACATGGGAGTCATGCTGAGTCAGCAAAAAAATATATGGCCACAGGAAACTTCAAATGTTTCCTCTGTTAGGTTATTTTACTGCATGTGAAAGTGAAGTACACAAAACAATCACTTACTTGTAAACCTGTATTCATCTTCACGTCTTCTGATCTCTAACTCTACAGAGAGAAGGACAGTAAACCACAGTGTAACAGTAACAGCAGGGAACAGTTCAGACGCCGACTCTTCCTTTAGGTGCCTGGAATACTATAGAAACACTACTGGACGACTGACAAACTATACAGACCCCCAAATGAGCTAAAGAACAGGGAATGACTGCCTTTATCTGCCACAAACTAGCATTTAGGGTCAGTAGGATTTTTTAAAAACAAATTAAGAATCTTATTTGCAAGGATGTGTTAAATTGATTTAAGTATCAGTTAGGACCTTTTACTTTGTTACAAAAAAATCTATTTTGAATAGCATGCACTTCTTTTGAACTTTCTCCTCATCAAAACATGATGAAACAAATGGATCATGGTTATCACAAAAAAATATGAAGCAGCACAACTGATTTTAACACTGATACTGATAATAATAAATGTCTTTCTTGAGCAGCGAATCAGCATATTAGAATGATTTCTGAAGGATCATGTGACACTGAAAATTCAGCTTTAAATCACAGAAATAAATTACATTTCAAAATGTATTACAATACAAAAGAGTTCAATTTGTAATAATAAATAAATGCAGCTTTGATGAGCAGAAGAGACTTCTTTCAAAAAGTAAAATGAAAAACTATTACTGACCCTAAACTTTTAAACAGAAGTGTAGATGTCGATATTTTTTTTCTAAAAATGGGTTAAAAGAATGTTGGGGTTTTTTTTGTTGTTGTCTAGTTTTTCACTTTGCTTTTCAATAAATTATAAATCGATTATATTCAACTGACTTTTGCATTTAGGTAGCCAGTTTGAAATGATTCACAGAAATCATCAAGTTTCAAAAGAAACATTTTAGTCATAAACGTTATTAATGTGCCAGGTCACAGGACAAGGAAGGACCATAAAACAAATCTAAAGATACTGTGTTTTGGAAAGCTGATGGCCAAATAAAGTGTCTTTAAAAATTGATCTCATTTGGAAAATAAGCGCGACTATATTTATTATGATTTTAGTTGGCAATCCAAAAACGAAAATGGTGTCATCACTTACTCGCCCTCAAGTTGTTCCAAACCTGTGTGAGTTTCTTTCTTCAGCTGAACACAAAAGTAGGTATTTTGAAGAATGTGGGGGACTTAAGTTGACGGTAGCCATTGACTTCTATAGTATAGGAAAAAATACTATGGAAGTCAGTTTGATTCTTCAAAATATCTTCTTTTGTGTTCAGCAGAAGACAGAAACTCACACAGGTTTGGAACAACTTGAGGATAAGTACTATCCCCTTTTTAGGCATCAAGGCAAACTTCGCAATTTTATCGCATTATCAACTATTCATGGAAATGGCTACATGATGTTTTTGTTTCAGTTAAAAAAAAAAAATGTATTACCATGTATTGTTATATTGGTGCATTTAAATGAAAATGATTGCATTTTATTATTCATTGTGCTCATTCACTGAATACCAAGGTGGAAAATATTTTATCAAGATCTATAGAGTAATGATTTTTATTTTATTATTTTATAAATGTTGAGATATACTGAATGCTGTTGAATAGGGATGTAACGATTAACCGCGAGCCGGTTGAAAATCGATTCAAATATGTGACGATTCAAATCGGTTGAGATGCTAAACAAATCGCGATTCATTTAGAGGTAGGAGTTTATATGAATGCATGTCTGAGGGGAACTTACTGCCTTTCGATGGTATTTTTTCTTTTTATAATGCAGCGTTGCTTTGGTTTGTTTACAGCGGAAACCAAGGAAACGCTTTAAGCGCCACCTGCTGGCAGAGAGTGAATCTGCGTCTCATTCAGCTCGTCTGCCGTTTCTGTTTCATGCTTTTACAGTAAGGTTAAATTTATTAACATTAGATAGAAAAAACATGAACAACATGTTCATTTTTACAGCATTTAGATGTTTTTAGTGCTGTCAAACGATTAATCGCGATTAATCGCATCCTAAATAAAATGTTTTTGTTTACATATTGTGTATATACTGTGTATATTCATTATGCAAAATCGTGAATCGAATCGAATCGTGAGTTGAGTGAATCGTTACATCCCTACTGTTGAAAGACTAAAATTAGGGTAACATTTTACAGTAAGGTTAAATTTATTAACATTAGATAGAAAAAACATGAACAACATGTTCATTATGTAAGCAAAGACTTTTATTTTGGATGCGATTAATCGCGATTAATCGTTTGACAGCACTACTTAATTTTATTAATAAATGTCAGATTATGATATAATACAAACCTCTGGGAGAGAGGGGACTCTGTTTGTCTGTTTCCGCTTGCTGTCGGCCTGCTGCCGGGAGGTTGTTGTAGATCCGTTTGTAATGATTATAGACGGCAACTGCCAACACTTTCTTGGCGTATGACTGGCCAACAACGTATTTGTCGAGGTAAGCATAAATCTAAAGAGGTGGAGACAACAGAAGCCCATGTGAGAGCTGTTCACTGCATTTCTGCTGTCACAGGATTAGCTTCGACTGGTTTACTTTTAAAAAGCGGATCTGATGACACACATATCAACTTAAGTTAATGTAATAATGTCTGGATGGTGTGATGGAACGGCACCTTTTTAGGAGGCGGAGGGGGTTTCTGAGCGAATGCAAATTGAACATGCTCCGAGCTCTCCGCTTCCTTATTCAAACCCTTCTTAGAGTCCGTCTCAGACAGAACCACGAAGAAATGATGGCACTTTTCACATTTCACAAACCGCGTGGAGGCTGTGTGGAGCAAAGACAATAGACATGAATATCTAGCTGCCACAACCAGCGGTTACCTCAACAGAACCATAAGTTCACAACATCTCTACATGACATAGTTTGAGCAGTTAGTACAGATCCTAGAATCATCTGTATGGCTCTTCATTGGTGTTGCTTCAGGAGCCAGATTTTAATCTGGGCATCACGTGGCGACAAAACACATTACTGTACAAAAAAAATTTAACAAAACGCAGAGGTCAATGACATGACATTCATTCTTTGTCCTACCTACAGTTTATTAAAAGATACATTTTATTTCTAAATTGCATTTAATGACTTGAATAGATCTAATCTAACATGTTAACATGCGTCACCGAATTACAATTCATTCCATTATGTTTACCTTTATATACGTGACCCTGGAGCACAAAAGCAGTGTTAAGTCGCTGGGGTATATTTGTAGCAATAGCCAACAATGCATTGTATGGGTCAAAATTATTGATTTTTCTTTTATGCCAAAAATCATTAGGATATTAAGTAAAGATCATGTTCCATGAAGATATTTAGTAAATTTCCTACCGTAAATATATCAAAACTTAATTTTTGATTAGTAATATGCATTGCTAAGAACTTCATTTGGACAACTTTAAAGATGATTTTCTCAATATTTTGATTTCTTTGCACCCTCAGATTCCAGATTTTCAAATAGTTGTATCTCAGCCAAATATTGTCCTATCCTAACAAACCCTAAAAGCTTATTTATTCAGCTTTCAGATTATGTAGAAATCTCAATTTTGAAAAATTGACCCTTATGACTGGTGATGTGGGCCAGGGTCACATATGTATGTATACGTGTGTGCGTGTGTGTGTATATATTATATTTTTGTGGGAAGAATACTGAAAAGTGGTATAACTGTTTAAAAATCATAATGAAAGATAAAAAAAAATAACTAGTAAATATTTTGTAATTATGTTTTAGAAAAAAATAAAAATACAAATTGTAACAAAAGTTTAGTACATCTGAAAAAAAACAAAAAAACATCAAAGTCTTGATCGACAAAAATCATGTGGGTGCAACCAACATGTTAATGTTTTTATGAAGAAAATAAATCATTATATTTATATAATAAATCATTAATTCTAATTATATCATATATAAATATTCATTATATTAACAAAAAAATTAATAAAATAAATTTAACAAGTAAAATAAATGTGTGTGTATGGGAAATGTTAAAAAATAGCACAAACATTTTTTTCAAAACCATATAAAATCAACATTAATACAAACAGATATTTCTAAGAATGTGGCAAATGTGCTTTAAACTGGATTTTTCCTTTCTTTAAATTTTTTTTTTTCTTTTTTAAGGTGGACACTCTTGCAAATGTCATTTATCTGCCCTTAAAATGGCAACACTCACAATTTTGTAAACAACAACTAGGGTTGCAAAGGGGTGGAAAATTTCCGGAAACTTTCCAAAAATCCCTGGAATTTTCCCCAAAATCCTGGAAAGTTTCCCAAATTTACTGGAAATTTTCCACCTTTTTGCAACCCTAATAACAACTGAACAGACACTGACTGGTAATGTGGAATCTAGTTATTCATTTCATTATTAAAACCTTACTTACACACAAAAGTCTCCACGTGTGTACAAGGATCTCCACACTTCGGACATCTCAGCTGACTGCCACCTTTCCCTGAACCTCCAGCGCCTGACGCCCGCTTTCCACCCGCCTCACCTACACCCTTCTGCAAAACCGTAACTGTGAATATCTCACACATCAGGCGAACATTCATGTAAATGTAACAGTAAGACTGACGAGTACCTTTCCTCCATCGCCGTCTTTAGAAGTGAAACACACTGCTGTCTGTGAGAACAGCCTCACGCGCACGAATGGAGGAAGATGGACTTCCTCACAAACTGCTCTGGTGCAGCTGAAGAGCTGAAGACGCGAGCGAGAAAAACCTGCCAGGAAACAATACACAATATGTTCCCAAACAATCTAACCAGTTGAATTCCATTCGATTGACTCACATTTTGGCCAGAAGCGAGGTTTAAAGTTACAAAATGTCTTCATGATGGATCTGTTTTTCGCAAACATGCTGCTTTTCGCATTAACTGATGGACTGTGATGTTTTTATCAGCTGTTTGGACTCTCATTCTGACGGCACCCATTCACTGCAGAGGATCTACATTTCTCCAAATCTGATGAAGAAACAAACTCATCTACATCTCGGATGGCCTGAGGGGGAGTAAATTCTCAGCAAATGCTCATTTTTGGGTGAACTGTTCCTTTAAGTCTGTAATAAGCACTC